GGTTGTGGGGGGAAGGGAAAGTGGCAAGGGTGGCAAGGATGGGAGAACCCATGGCCCTCGAGAATCATAATGGCGTGATATCGCAGGTCACGGCAGCCGTGGCGAACACTAATCACAATGTCGCAAGTTTGGCAGTGCAGTACATGAGGGGACGGAAACGTGGTCGACCGAAATCTGTGCGCTTGCTGCGGCGGTCCCTTAGTGCCAAGCCCCGGAAGAAGTGGACCGAAGAGGAGGAGGAGAACTTGATACAGAAGTATGCGGACATGTTGACGTCGGGGGTTATGCTTAAGATGAAGACGCGGCAAAAGAAGTTCGAGCCAATAGCGCAACATGTGAACGACCTTCATCACCGACGCGACCCGGAGGGTTACCCGTATGAATGGTCGTGGCGAGAGGTTGCGATCAAGGTTCAGAACATGAGGGGGCAGTATCTTGGGGTGAGGCAGAAAATCAGGAGGCTTGTGGAGAGCGTGAATGGGAACGGGCTCGTCGAGGAAAAGGAATACTATGATTGGCAGGATGGGAACTACCATTGGGCCAATTTTTCCAAGTATCGGGAAGTTTTCGGGGACGAGCCGATGCCGGGGATAACTGATGTGCAGGCATCGGATGCAGGGCTTGTAGTGGGACTGAAAGGTGCAACGAGGATGGCAGAGGAGGCAAATGGGCGTGGAGAGGAGGATGGAGAAAAAGGGGGGGAGGTTGATGGGGAAAGTGATGAGCAGATGGATGGGGAGGGGGTGAACTATGCACATCCTTCGCCAAAGAGACGGATAAAGGAGCGAGACCTGAGGGAGATCGGACGGATCGCGGGAGGAGGTGGCGGGCTCGGGGGAGGAGATGGAAGGGCCAGAGTAAGAGGTGCGTCTGGAGGTGTTGAGGCCTTGGGAGGGCTTATCCGCGGGGTGGGCATTGCATCTGGATTGGGGAGCACAAGAGGGCTGCATGTAGTGAATGGTGTTGCCTGGGAGGTCCAAGATGGGACTGGAATTGAAAGGGATGGCAAAGCTGGTGGTTTCCAAGCTATGAGTGGCGGTATGGGGGATGACCATGGATCTCCTGAAGGGGGTGGGCGCTCCGTAGGAGGGGAGTGTGCCAATAACAGTGTAAACGAGGCACCGATCATTGGCAGGGTGGTGTTCCGGGAGAAGCAGAACTCCCCGGGCGTGATAGTCATTGACAACCGACAGCGGGGCGCGGAGAGGGAGGCGAACACAAATGAAAGGTGGGAAACGCAGGGGACAGTGAGGGTTGTGGAATGCGAGGGAGGGGAAAGACGGTGGACCAGCAGGGAGGTGGAGAGGGATGGGGTCAGGGAAAGCGGCAGAGTGGTGGCGGCGAGAGAAAGCAGGGATGTGCGGGATGTAAGGGATGGAAGGGATCATCCCGCAGGAGGAGACGGGAGGGAGGCAAGGGATGTGAGGGACGTCCGGGACACAAGGGACGTCCGGGACACAAGGGATGTCAAGGACCTTAGAGATGCAAGGGATATCAGGGATCCGAGGGAGGGTAGAGATGCAAGGGACGTCAGAGATATGCGAGATGTAAGGGACCTGAGGGATGTGAGAGATGTAAGGGACACGAGGGACACAAGGGACACAAGGGACACAAGGGACATAAGGGACCGAAGAGATCCGAGGGATGTACGGGAGCTGCGAGATTCGAGGGAAGTGAGAGACGTGAGAGATGCGGTAGACATAAGGGACATGAGGGATGCGAGGGATGGAAGGGACCTGCGAGAGGCTCGGAATGCGAGGGACATGAGAGATGTCAGGGATGCGAGAGATGTGAGAGAGGTCAGAGATGATGTCAGGGATGCGAGAGATGTCAGAGATGTCAGGGATGCCAGAGATGTTGTCAGGGATGCGAGGGACGTAAGGGATGTCAGAGATGTCAGAGAGGTCCGCGATGGCAGAGAAGGAAAGGAGGTGCGGGATGCTAGAAATGGCAGAGAGGTGAGGGACGCCAGAGAGGTCAGGACCGTGAGAGAGCTGAAGGATGTGATTGAAAGGGACAGAGAGCTTGAGAGGCCAGTGTCGTGGGAAGAGCGGCGCGATCAGGAGATGCGGGAATGGCTGGGGCGCATGATGAAGATGCAGCTTGACTACCAGACGAGCATGATGCAGATTCAGGCCCAGATCGCTGAAGGGCAGCAAAATATGATGGCATTCCTAGCTGCTATCCTTGTTCAGAGCCAGGAAGCACAAGGAAGGGGAGGGGGAGGGGGGGGGGGGGGGTGCCAGGTGCGCTTTCGGAAAATGGCTACGTGCGGCAGCCGGCATTGATTCCGTGCGCATGCAACGGAGGTAGTCAGCAAGCCAGCCTGCCTTCAGGTTCAGCGGTGACCCCCTTCTGGGCACAGCTGATGACCAGTTTCCAGCAATTCTCACCAGCAATGCCGCAATCCAAAGGTGCGACTGCCCAGGAAGCCACACGAAGCTTGGGTTCGGAGGAGGAACGACCTGCGCAGCCACAGAGGGAGCATGCACTGGACCAACCGCCGCCTCCGCAGCAGCATCTACGGGGCAGCGATCAACTCTGTCGCACTAACGACGTCCGCTTGTTGCCGAGTGGCCTGCCTGCAGTCGGTGACAGGGGTGGAAAACTGTCGCCTGCGGCCATCGATACTGGAGTTGCACTGGCTGAGACCATGGGAGTCATGCGCAACAGGGGCTCCACTGCATCTGATGCAGGTGGGGGCAGTGGAGCCGGTGGTGGATGCGACGGGAGGGGCTTGATTGGAGCGGTTTCGAATGGTGGGAGTGGAAGCGCAAAGCACAAACATTCACAGCCACAGTCTTTTCATCAGGGAGGCATTGCTCTGAGGAATGGGTGCATACAGGTAGATAGCGACGAACGATTGGAAAAGGATCTCGCCGTCTCCGACGAAGGAACCGCCACCGATGGAGCTTCAAGTGATGACAATGATCAGGAGAATTCTATGGAGGTGGTCATTGAGTCAGCATACAACACGCGTGGCGTGCGGGAAAGCATTGCACCTGCAACGATGCCAGTTGGCCGAACCAATTCCTGGACGGGTGTCGAATACGGTCAATGAGGTGCCTTAGTTGTTCATTCCCAGGTTAGAGAATGCCATTCCTTTAAAGTGCCATTCATGTTTTGTGAACCCTCAAGATCGCTGCCTACTTTCTCGCTTTGTTTCTTCTTCGTTTTTTTTCTCCATTCTTTTAAACCACCACTAGCCCCGCCGTCCTAAGCTAGGGGGGGGGGGCGGTAGCAGAGGTTCATGAGGACTACCGGTAGCACAGTGGGGAGAACCGGCCGAGTGGCAAAAATGGAAAATGCGTCGAATTGCTGCCACAATTTATTTCGCATTTGAAACAAAATTTTAAATATTTTTAAATGTTTTTCCTGGACAGGTTGCGACGAAATCTACAGGCCCTCCAATTTTCAGAGCTTTTGCATCATTCTTCTGACCGCAAAAAGTCTCGGAAGTTGGGGTACTTTTTCCGTCGACCAACAAGTGGTCGAGTGGCAAAAATGGAAAATGCAACGAATCGGGGTGGCACTTATTTGTGGTCAATTTTTTTATTTTTTTTGTGATATTTTTCCTGGATAGATCACAACCATAGTTTCGGCGCACCAGTGCGCAGTGGGCTGCCCGCTGGAATGACAGCGCGCGTACTGTGTGCCGTGCGGTCCGCTGTGCGCAGTGCGCTGCCCACTGGAATGACAGCGCGCGCACTGTGCGCCGTGCGGTCCGCTGTGCGCAGTGCGTGGGCTGAGGGAGGTGCGCCCTGTGCGCAAAAAAAACAAACAAAACAAAAAACAAACAATGCCCCGGCGCGTGCGCATGTGCGCGCGCGCGCGCACGAGAGAGAGAGAGAGAGAGAGAGAGAGAGAGAGAGAGAGAGAGAGAGAGAGAGAGAGAGAGAGAGAGAGAGANGAGAGAGAGAGAGAGAGAGAGAGAGAGAGAGAGAGAGAGAGAGAGAGAGAGAGACCGAAGGGTCCCCTTCACGTCAATTTGAGGGCCCCTGCAGGTACCTCGAATGGCTCCTATGATAAATCTGGAGTCATTGAGGACCACTGCTTCAACGAGAAGGATGGCAACAACGTATGTGGAGGAGGTGGGAGCAGATCACGAATATATGTTGTGGGTTCGAGTTCAGGGCTGTAGCTTGGCAGTTATGGGTCACAAATTCAGCTAGACCCTGTTCGTGTCTCCACGTGATTTTTTTTTTTTTTTTTTCTTGCGCACAGGGTGCACCTCCCTCAGCGCGTGCACTGCGCACTGTGCACAGCGCACAGTGCGCGCGCTGTCATTCCAGCGCGCTGCGCACCTGCCGGCCCCGTGCGCTGCAACTATGGTATATAACATTAGTAGAATGAATCTTCTGTTAAAACATGGAAACGTACACCGCCATATGCTATGTCTTTTGTGCATGTGGTGAGTGGTGGAGCAGGCCCCTCTGTGCTTATTCATAAGAAAACAAAATCAAAAGAATGAGAGAGCTACAGGCGTCTTCATCCTAAGTTCAGTCCTAAGTTCCTAACCCATAAGTGCCGACATGCAGACCTGAATGCCAATCTTCAGCATATATATATTGGTGGTCGGCTGGCCGTGCACAACAGATCTTGTTACTTCGGCGAAGCTTTGCGGGGTAGGTCGCTATTGGGCAACTACCCCCTTCTTGCTTCTTGCGAATTTTTCCCACCACTGTGTGGGATTTGCGGAAGGGAGGGGGAAGGCCAGTTTCCACACCCCGCCCCCCAAAAAAAAGTTGGAATTAGCCCTATTTTAGTATTTTAGTATTTTACTATTTTAATAGTATTTTACCATTTTTTCATGACTCGCCATTTTGAAACTTTTGGGGGAAGGGCCTGCGGAAATCGAAATGCGGCAGCCCTTGAGCCAAAATGTTTTTTTGGGGCCGGGGGTGTGGCCGGTTTCTGAACTTACGCGGTGACTTTTTAGGATTTTTGCCGAGTTGTGGGCGCTAAGAACTTACCACACCCCTACTTTTTTTTTTTTTTTTTTTTTTTTTTTTGAACCTAATTTTTCCAGTGCGGTGCGCTTCGGTGCGATGTGCGGTGCGCGTGGTTGTCAAATCTGCGCACCGAGGTGCGCCGCAACTATGATCACAACCTAATCTACAGGATCTTAAATTTTCTTTTTTTTTTCGTCAATTCTTCTCATCGTGGAAAATCGCCAAAGTTGGTGCTTGAAAATTGCGGTACTGGCCTCACCTGCGCCTGCCGGTCGCCGCCGCCCTACTGTTTTCTGCGGCCCTAACTCTCCGGAAATCCCTCTTTTGGCTGGCGGGGGTAGCGGTTGTTTAACGAAATCAGTTAACAATGCTTGGTCCTTAGACTCTTTACCACATCGACTAGATCCATTGGTGCACCCCTGAACGAACTGTTGAAATACAGACCAGGTGCGGAGTTCGAACGCCGCTGAGAGCAAAACTAGTACAATTCTGAACTTACCTTGGGCCAGTCAGCTCGGTAATGATACCTCAAGGCCGTTGCCCTTTCTAAGAAAAATCTGGGAAAAAAAAAAAAGAAGACAATGCTCAGCATTTGGACGAGTTCTCCGATTAAATTTTTATCAGGATAGCGAGTGTCCAGGGCACTGTGAAGCACTCAGCAATGTCCAGCGTGTCCGAATGTTTAGTCCGCGTGGGTCAACACGTTTAGTCCGTGAGCCAACACGATGAATCCGTCGGTCAACACGATGAATCCGTCGGTCAACACGATGAATCCGTCGGTCAACATGATGAATCCGTGGGTCAACACGTTTAATCCATGGGTCAACACGTTTAATCCATGGGTCAACACGTTTAGTCTGTGGGTCAACACACTTAGTCCGTGGGTCAACACGATGAATCCGTGGTCAACACGATGAATCCGTGGGTCAACACATTTAGTCCATGGGTCAACATGTTTAATCTGTGGGTCAACACGTTTAGTCCGTCGGTCAACTATTTAGTCCGTGGGTCAACACGTTTAGTCGGTGGGCCAACACGTGTAGTCCGTGGGTCAACACGATGAATACGTGGTCAACACGATGAATCCGTGGGTCAACACATTTAGTCCATGGGTCAACACGTTTAATCTGTGGGTCAACATGTGTAGTCCGTGGGTCAACACGATGAATCCGTGGGTCGATATGATGAATCCGTGGGTCAACACGATGGATCCATGGGTCAACACGTTTAATCTCTGGGTCAACATCATGAATTTGTGGGTCGACATCATGAGTTTGTGGGTCAACATCCTGAGTTTGTGGGTCAACACGATGAATTCGTGGGTCAACACGTGTAGTCCGTGGGTCAACACGTTTAATCTGTGGGTCAACACATTTAGTCCGTGGGTCAACACCGTTAGTCCATGGGTAAAGGATGCAGGATTTTGATACACTCTACGATTTTTGCACCTGAATTTACAGACACCTGTGTAAATATGTTCCAACAGTAATCACACTCTTCGAGCCTTTTTTGTTTATTTACTACTGTTTATTTGTTTGATTTGTTTTTGAATTTGTGGGTCAACACGTTTAGTCTGTGGGTCAACACGATGAATCCGTGGGTGAGCACGATGAATCTGTGGGTCAGCACGATGAATCCGAGTCGACCTGGTTGGTCAGGATGAACGAGTTTGGCCGGTGCCAATGTATGTGTCAACGGTCAGAATGAACGGGCGTGGTGCAGGCTGACCATCGGGTTTTGTCACGATCAACGAGGATTATGAAGTCGAGTGAACGATTCGTATGTGCGATAATAATGCGACTGTACTCGTACTCAGATACGATAACAGAGTCGACTCTTTCATTGGTATTATTTGAATTAATATGATACACAATGTGAAAGGTCAATGCCCAACAACAATCCGTCAAACCGAATGATCCCCCGCCGTATCGCGAACCCAACGTCCTCCTTTAAATCTGACTTACGCAGGAACAGGTGCAGGTCCAGGATCACAGTAAAAAAAAAAGGCTGTGTGTGGAATCTGTGGATGAACCATTCAGTTGGTACACCCCGAGAGCTGCTGAAATATGGATGCAAGGTTTGCTTTGTTTTTTTTTTTTTGTTTTTTTTTTTTTGTTTGTTTGTAAAGCTATATTCTTCTCTCAATTTCACCTCACACTACCTACCTACCACTACTCCTAATTGTAGGCCTACGGGGAACCACGCAGCAGCCAGAACCCTGTTCACTAGAGAACATGCGGGGGCTGCTCCCGACCTGCAGGTGGGCGATACCAGCTAGGGGACAGCCGGGAGAATCAGGGACCATGCCAACAGGACCAATCCCTGTGCCTCCCCTCAGGTCCCCTCCCCTATGAACATCAGCAGACTCTGCTAAATGCCAATCGGGGGATCCAGTGGTCTATCTCTAGGTGGCGGGCGCCAAACATGCCCAGGAAGGTACATGACGTCAATGGGGATTGAACCCACGACCTCCTGAATGCCACTTGCAAGCCTTACCAACTGAGTTAGGCCGCTGGATAATGGATGCAAGTTTGAATCCAGTGGCAACCAGATGAATCCAATAAAATAATTCGGAATCTTCTGCTGCGGCTGGTCACTCCCCCCCCACCCAGTGATGATATCTCAGGGKGMAAAAAAAAAAAAAAAMAARTTTTYTRAAWWTTKARTACCSTCTTCMCCCRAAAAAAAAAAAAAAAAAAAAAAAAAAAAACAGAACCAAAAAAAAAACGGGCGGGGGTCGGTATCGCTGTGTCTAGACTGGAAAATTGCCCCATGACACACGTTTTTTTTCTTTTTTTTGGAGGTTGGCACCAAACACTTGTTCGTTGCGGGTTATGTCTTCTCGATATTCATTGCTTCCATTGCTTTGCTATCGTGAACTGCATTTCAACGTTTGAAGTCTTGAGTTATGCGGTTAATGATGAGGATATTTTTGTTAAATGATGAGGATATTTTTGTTCACTTGTTTTGTGAACTGCGGTTATTGTCACGGGTGCACATTGATTGATCCAGACGGCACTGGCGGTCAATGATGAGGATATTTTTGTTAAATAAATAAATACATACATAAAATTGAAATAATAAAAGAAATAGAAGTAGGGTTACCCCCCCTGGGGATCGGCCTGAACCGGTCGTGGCCCAAACGGTCGAATGTTTGGCAACCTCCAGGACAGGCATTCTGCTGAACGCCTGCCAGGACAGGCATTCTGCTGAACGCCAAAGTTTGGCCTTCGCCTTTTTTTTTTCAACATGTTTTTCCGTTTTTTGTGTCAGCTGTCATTCAGCCTCATGTGGGTTTTGTTCGAACCCACAATATGTATTTCCACAAAACGTTTGGAGGGGGTTGGCATTGCCAGCCGAATGCAGGCCTGCTCCCCCTCACCACCGTGTGTGTGTGTGTGTGTGTGTGTGTGTGTGTGTGTGTGTGTGTGTGTGAGAGAGAGAGAGAGAGAGAGATTGAATTGCAATTACCTGAATGATGGATTGTTTGGCTGATTGATTGATTGATTGAATGATTCATATTGATAAGATAAAAAGTAAAAAATAAAACTGTGCGTCGAATAGCGATGTGCATTGTGTGTGCGTGCGTGTGTACACGTGCCAGATTTCACACAGAATCCAGGAGGGCTGATGGGTATTTCATAGGAGGCTCATTTTGGGCTCTGATTGGAACTTGCTCATCGTGTGAATGGTTGCAGAGAGTCCTGGGATGCAAGATCAGCCGGGTGCAATCTTCCGCGCTGTGTCTTTGTGAACTGGAGAAGACGGAAGAGGATGCGAATGGCGGATGATGGGTTGCGTCCAACAAGAGAGATGAGTTCTGGCGTCCACGGGGTTGTAGGCAATCGGAAATTTCAAATTTATGTCTGTCCTTAGTCTGCCAATGAGGCTGAGGATGACTGTGGCGGACATATGCACACTCCCTCCCTCCGCATGAGCGCACATGCGTACTCGGAGTGGTGTGTATTTGTTTGGGAATCCATTTGTATGCGGGTGTGTTCCTTTGAGAGATAGTGAAGTACCTCTTTGCGTGCCTGTGTTTGTGTCGCGGAGTAACTCTGCGTGTGTGTGTGTGTGTGTGTGTGTGTGTGTGTGTGTGTGAGAGAGAGAGAGAGAGAGAGAGAGAGAGAGAGAGAGAGAGAGAGAGAGAGCAATAGTTTGGGGGCCGAACAGGGGAGGTTTCAAATGCTTTGTCAGGTCATGCATTTGTGAGCGGCCTCGGTTTCACTCTTGTCCCCCTTGTATTGATTAATCGCTACAGTGAGGGAACTGAGGGAACTCTTACATGTTTAAGGAGGGGCAGACCACACGAGGGCTGTGTGTGTGTGTGTGTCTGTGTGTGTGTCTGTGTGTGTGTGTGTGTGTGTCTGTGTGTGTGTCTGTGTGTGTGTGTGTGTGTGTGTGTGTGTGGCGCTTGGATGTGTGTATTGCACAGAGAGAGAGAGAGAGAGAGAGAGAGAGAGGAAAGTAATGCTCCCGCTCAAGTTCCTGTTTACTTGTTTGGAGAGCATTCGGCATAGGAAAGGTGGCCCTTGAAGATCTTCGTACTACATGCGACAGGGGTTTAAAAGGGGGGTTTCAAAAGGCATGGGGTCATCATGTATGATCAAGGTCAGCGCTCGTCCTGGCCCTCCTTTTTCCTACCCCCTCTAGCTCCTTCATGCAGATTTGTCGTCGCCATTAGTTTCGATTCGATTCGATTTGATTCGATTCGATTTGCGTCCGTCCTTGTAGACGGTGGCTCTTCTAGGTCCATTGATTTGTTTTCTCTTACCTTTTATTCCCCTCAGCATTGGTTTACAAATCGACACATTATCATTTTTTGTGATGATGTTTCACAAATGTTGGTCTTATTCATGCTTCATTGACTACTGTTTCGATTGCGCTTCTTGAGTATATTAAGCTGTGCGGGCGCGCTTCTCGGCATCGGCAGTTCGCGCTGGCTCGTCGCGGTATGCTGCTCTGCTGCGCCTTCCGCCAAATGGGGTACTAGCTGGAGATTCTGCGGCAATTGTCCCCAGCTCCACTGTATACTGAGATGAGAGAGAATTTGACACTCCACGGGGGGGTATGGCTACGAGGGGATTTGGGTACGAGGGGTTTCATATTGGCAAGAAATGTTTGTTTGATCGGATTCTTCATCCGTTTATATTTGATTTGACTGTATTTGTTCGTTTACAATTGCCTCGGTTCTTCGGTTCGATGACTTGGTTCCCAGTGTCGTTTAGCAATTTTGGTTACTTTTAAATTTCATTACTCTCTCTCTCACACCTATTTTTTATTTTTTTATTTGTAATGAGGTTGAATGCACACTTGATTGGAATCCCACAGAGAACTGGAATTCTTTTCTTCTTCTTCTTCTTCTTCTTCTTCTTCTTTTTTTTTTTTTTTTTTTTTTTTTTCCGTAAAGCTGCCTTCTCCTCATTGGGGAAAACCCATATATTTTTTCTCTCACCTCATATATATATATATTTACCGGGCAGTTCTGTTTGTGACGATATGTATATATATCTTCTCTCTCTGCCTACGGTTTACCGGGCAGTTCTATTTGTGACGATATATATATATTTTGTGACGATATATATATATTTTGTGACGATATATATACAGTCTGTAGAGTTTTCCATCTGGTGTGGGTGAGTGATAGTCTACTTTGATTTTGGTTAAGGTAGATTATCATTTACAGTGTAATCAGTGAGGGGATTCTGCAGACTGTTGAGGGTTCAGCCTCCTGATGAGTCGGTGAAACTCCGACGAAACAGTTTGCCACAGCCCCTCGTTTGTTGTCCTCTTCTCTCTCTCTGCCTACGGTTTGCCGGGCAGTTCTGTTTGTGACGATATATATATATATAGTGACGATATATATACAGTCTGTAGAGTTTTCCATCTGGTGTGGGTGAGTGATAGTCTACTTTGATTTTGGTTAAGGTAGATTATCATTTACAGTGTAATCAGTGAGGGGATTCTGCAGACTGTTGAGGGTTCAGCCTCCTGATGAGTCGGTGAAACTCCGACGAAACAGTTTGYCACAGCCCCTCGTTTGTTGTCCTCTTCTCTCTCTCTGCCTACGGTTTGCCGGGCAGTTCTGTTTGTGACGATATATATATATATATATATATTTTTTTTTTTTGTGAACTGCCGTTCTGCCATGCATGTCATGGAACATATCTTTCTTTCACTACCTACCTACTGACCCTTACTCCTAATAAGGCTATAAAGGGGACCCCTGCAAGCATAGCTTTCTACCTCTCTTCGGTGAAGGGAGGTTATCTCTCTCCGTGGAGAGAGAGAGAGGTGTAACGGCATGTTTGCCCCTTTGCCCTACTGTCTTCACCCGAAGACGTCGTACGGTCATTATAGCTGTATCTAGACTGAAAGATGCCTCAAATACAGCTATAATGACCGTGCATTGTATTCGGGTGAAGACTGTACCGTTTAGGGTGGTGCAGGGTTGGGGGGCCGCCGCTGGTGTGAGCCGGGCTAACACAAGGACCGAGCATTTGCCAGTGAGTAACTGTGAGGAATTCATTTTCTGAAATTTCTAAAATTTCTGCATGATAGAAGTCTGTGGAAAAGAAAAAAGAAAAGAAAAGAAAAGAAAAGAAAAGAAAAGAAAAGGTCTGTGAATTTGTGAAAAGAAAACGAGTATGAAACCAAAGAGAAAAGAGAGACTGAACTTCGCACCATGCTGCCTTCTTCTTCTTCTTCTTCTTTTTTCTTTTTTTATTATTATTATTATTATTTCCTTGCCTTGAGCAGGATGCAACCAAGTTTTTGCCCGAAGAAATGACAAGTGAACAGCAAGCTCTCCCTAGTCGCAATGGCTGCGCACTCGAACAGCCCTTCCTTAGCTCTGACGAGTCACGACCGGTTTTGCACGCAATAGCAATAGTGAAACACGACAAATCAATTTTTTTTTTTCCGGACCCCTTCTCCTGCTTGTCCCTCTCGCCGAGCAAAAATCTTCTACCCCAGGCTTGTGCGGTCTGTCCTTGTAAATATCGACTTTCTACCGGGGACTAGAAAAGCCGATTCTAAAAACAAAACAAAAACCTTAAAATAAAAATAAAAATGTATAAGGTTTAAATTATTGTGATTAGCCTCGTGGCCCTAGGAAGGCTGCGCAAGGGCAGCAGATGTAACAGCAGAGAGGGGGGGGCATACAATACAAGGG